CCCCCACCCCATGAAGTGATGAGAAGATAAGTTTATTTTCTATTTCAACATAAAACAGCATTTTACAACAACTAAAGCTGACATAGATACTTTGTTGTGGTATAGTATTTAAATGTATGCCAGAGAAACACTTAATATTGCCCCTTTAACAATTTACTATTTACTGTATCAGATCAATCCAAAGATATCTACTTTACAATCATATAACAGAGAACTTGAAATGGAGTATTTTATGCAAAACAAAGCTGTTTTATATTGCACAGTTTAAAATGTAAATAAATTGACGAAATTTTAGATTCATTGTTTTAAGTAAGCACACCTGCTCAGATATTACAGAGAATCAAAACGATTTCCCGTGAATGAAAGAGAAATGGTTTGTAGCTTGGATAAATAAAAAGAACAGATTTTAGTGAAAGAGGAGAGAATTACTGACAATCATGGTGCACGGGGTCTCATCAACAGGGCCTCAGGAGTGATTGAAATGTTGCTTGGCTAATTGGGAGGAGGCTTTTTATGGTGCAGATAAGTAGAAGAATGTTTATGGGTGCAGCAAAGCCCAAAAAGAAAACCTGCTACATGTGCAACTTTTGTAACCTCGGTTGCTCTCGTGGAGCACAAAGGTCACCCCCATGACGCTCTGTGCTCACCACTGCACATACCAGAGGAAGATCAGAAGACAGCAGCAGCTCCCTGATTATTTACTTGGACTCATTTGTACATAGCAGCAGTTAAGGTTCAGTGCAGCAGCCTGTGAACGCAGGTTGTGTTTTTCCTAATAGTTTCCAGGACAAGGCCAGTTTATTGTATCTCATGACCAAGTGGCTGCCAATACCAGAGAGCTTTGTTACAGATTTGTATTATTATTTTAGCTCCTAATACATTATGGAGGAGGTGTCAGCATGCCTTTAGAGAAAACTCTTTCTCATAGTTTCTTACGGAGCCCGCCGTGGGTCAGTGGGAGAAAAAAAAAACAGCCGCTGGAAATCCGTGTGCACGGATTGCTAAACTGAGTGAACGGATTACTAAACTGTGCGCACGGATTACTAAACTGAGCGCACGGATTACTAAACTGTGCACACGGATTACTAAAA